TGCAACACTACCCTTAATGTGATTTTTCAAATACTGTAAACTGAAACATAATGCTCCATAAGCAATAACCCCTCCTTTCTCCTTCCTTCCCGCCCCCGGTAACCACTAATAAACTTTAGTCTTCATATATTTGCCTTTTCTTGTCTTTTTATGTAAGTGAGGTCATACAATATTTGTCCTTTTGTGGTTGAGTCATTTCACTCACCATAATATTTTGAAGCTCTATCCATACTGTAGCGTGAATCAAGACCTCATTTCTCTTATTGGCTTAGTATTCCATTGCATGTATTTACCACATTTTGTTATTCACTTATCAGCTGACGGACGTTTAGGTGTTTCCACCTTTTGGCTACTGTGACTAGCGCTGCAATGAACACTGGTGTACAAGGATCTGTTTGAGTCTCCACTTTCAAGTCTTTTGGGTATATACCTAGGAATGGCATTGCTAGGTCATATGCTAGTTCTATTTTTAGTTTTCTGAGAAACTGCCACACTGTTTTCCACAGTGGCTGTACCATTTTGCATTTCCAGCAGCAATGGATAAGGGTTCCAATTTCTCCACATCCTTGCTGACATCTATTATTTTCTTTTTTTCTTATCTTAGCCATCCTACCAGGAGTGAAATGGTATCTCGTTGTTTTGATGTGCATCTCTGATGGCTAATGATGTTGAGTATCTTTTCATGTGTATGGTGGCCATCTGAATGTCCTGTTTGGTGAAATGTCTATTTACGTCCTTTTGCCATGTTATGACTGGGTTATTTGTCTTTTTGTTAAGTTGTCAAAGTTGCATATATATTTTGGTTATTAGATTCTTCTCACACGTATCGTTTCTGAAGATATTCTCCCAGCCAGTAGCTTGCCTTTTCACTTTTTAGGTAAAGTCTTCTGATGAACAAAAGTTAATTTTTATGATGTCCCCTTTATTTATTTTGTCTTTTGCCATTTGTACTTCTGTTATATTAGATAACCCATTGTAAAAAGCTAGGCCAACAGCCTTGCCCCTGCATTTTCTTCTACAAATTTTATCGTTTTTGTTTTCACATTCCACAGGGTTTTCAATGGCTGACTTTTCATTAGATCATAGGTCCTTCTTTTAAGGTGCCTCTAGGTGGACTCGAACCTCCAACACTTCCATTAGCAGCCAAGCATGCTAACCATTTGCACCACAAAAATCTCTTATTGGGATTTTAAAAGATGATATAAAACATAACTTTTCAGTGAATCTAGTTTCCACAGGGAGTTATTTTTCCAGATAGCATGAAATTACTTTCCTATCTTAAGCTGCACCTGCTAGATCACTAACATTATTAAGTATCTGGACTTAAAGTGCCTTCTGTGTGAATTTTTTCCTACTGTGTCCATCTGTTCTTTTCTTGTAGGCCCTGAAGAAACCAATACTTAGTAAACATTCAGTTCTCAGACTGTTTTATGGTTGTTTCATATAAGCATACACTGGGGAAAATTATATAACTGTGTTCAGAAACAGCTCACACTTGATTTCTCTTTTACACTACCCAAGTAATTACTATTTTTATGGAAGACTAAAAATTCACCAAACATACAAGAAATAAACCCAAGGAATACAAATAATTATAACTTTGAAAAGCATATGTGTCAGGGATGCTAAGTGATCTTTGATACCTGATAATTAAATAATAGCAGGTAAATAACTTAAAGGAGCCCTGGTGGCACAGTGGTTAAGCACTCAGCTGCTAACAGACAGATTGGCAGTTAAAACCCACCAGCTGCTCCATGGGAGAAAGATGTGGCAGCCTGCTTCCATAAAGATTACAGCCTTGAAATCCCTGTGGGGCAGTTCTACTCTGTCCTATTGGGTTGCTATGAGTTGGAATCGACTCACTGGCAGTGGGTTTGGTTTTGGTTTTCAAGTAATTAAAAAAAATTTTTTTTTTATTGTGCTTTAGGTGAAGTTTACAGAGTAAATTAGTTTTCCATTCAATAGTTTGTACATAAAATATTCCATGACATTGGTTGCATTTCTCGCAATGTGTCAGCACTCTCCATTTCTGCTCTGGGTTCCTCATTTCCTTTCATCCAGATTCTCTACCCTTCCCTGTGTTCTCATCTTTGCTTCTGGGCAAATACCGTCCTTTTGATTTCGTATAATCCATTGTTTTAAGGAACACATTCCTCTCAGGTGCTGTTTATTTTATGGGCCTGTCTATTGTTTGGCTGAAAGGTGGTCTCCAAGAATGGCTTCAGTTCCAGGTCAGAAGGGTGTCTTGGAAGAATTACAGCCAGAATGCTCCTTAGAATCAAGGATGGTAAGACTACATCTCACGTAGTTTGGACATGATGTCAGGAGGCATCGGTCCCTGGAGAAGGACACCATGTTGGTAAAGTAGAGGGTCAGTGAAAAAGAGGAAGACCCTCAAGGAGATGGACTGACACAGTGGCTGCAATAACAGGCTCAAGCATAACAACAATTGTGAGGATGGTGCAGGACTGGGCAGTGTTTTGTTCTGTTGTACGTAGGGCCACTATGCGTTGGAACTGACTCAACGGTACCTAACAACAATAATGCCTAATGATCGTGAGCATCTTTTTTTTTTTTTTTAATTTTATTGCATGTTAGGTGGAAGTTTACAGCGCAGATTAGATTCTCATTCAAAAATTTATACACAAATTGTTTTGTGATATTGGCTGTAATCCCCACAATATGTCAGCACTCTGCCCCTTTTCCTTTCCACCCTGAGTTCTTTGTGTCCATTCGTCCAGTTTTATGGTCCCTTCCTGCCTTCTCATCTTTGCTTTTGGGCAGGTGTTGCCCATTTGGTCTTGTATACTTGATTGAACTATGAAGCACATTCCTCACGTGTTATTGTTTGTTTTACAGGCCTGTCTATTCTTTGGCTGAAAGGCAGACTTTGGGAGTGGCTTCAGTTCTGAGTTAGCAGGGTGATCAGGGGCCATAGTCTCAGGGATTCCTCCAGTCTGTGCCAGACCAGTAAGTCTAGTCTATTTTTGTGAATTTGAACTCTGTACTACACTTATCTCCTGCTTTGTCCAGGACCCTCTATTATGATCCCCATCAGAGCAGCCGGTGGTGATAGCTGGGCACTATCTAGTTCTTCTGAGCTCAGGCTAGTGGAGGCTGTGGTTCATGTGCTCCATTACTCCTCTGGACTAATATTTTCCTTGTGTCTTTGGTCTTCTTCATTCTCCTTTGCTCCAAACATGATGGAACCAATTGATGTATCTTAGATGGCTGCTCACAAGCTTTTAAGATCTCAGATGCTACTCACCAAAGTAGTATACAGAACATTTTCTTTATAAACCATGTCATGCCAATTGACCAAATGTCCCCTGAGACCATGTTCCCCAGCCCGTAGCCCTAGTAACTTGGTCCCTCCCTCAAGGTGTTTTGATGTGTCTACGAAGCTCCTATGACTTTGCCTTGATCAAGTTGTGCAGACTTCCCTATATTGTGTCTTGTCTTTCCCTTCACCAAAGTTAACCCATGTCCACTATCTATTGTGATTTTCCCTTCCCACTCCCCACCTCATATCCATCAAAAATTATTTTTTTCTGTGTGTAAACCTTTTCTTGGGTTTTGTAATAGTGGTCTCATACAATATTTGTCCCTTTGTGATTGACACGAGCATTTCTTCATGTGTTTCTTAGCTGCCTGAATGTCTTCTTTGGCGAATGGTCTGTTCATATCCTTTGCCCACTTTTAAACTGGATTGTTTTTCTTTTTGTTATTGAAGTGTTGAAGTTCTCTATGAATTTTAGAGAATAGACTCTTGTTGGATATGTTGTAGCCAAAAATTGTTCCCAGTCTATAGGTTCTCTATTTACTCTTTTGGAGAAATCTATTGAAGAGCATAAGTGGTTAATTTTTAGGAAGTCCCGTTTATCTAGTTCATCTTTTGCTGTGTCTTAGTTACTCAGTGCTGCTATAACAGAAATACCACAAGTGGAGGGCTTTAACAAAGAGAAGTTTATTCTCTCACGGTTTAGGAGGCTAGAAGTCCAAATTCAGGGTGCAAGCTCCAGGGGAAGGCTTTCTCTCTCTACTGGCTCTGTGAGAAGGTGCTTGTTATCAATCTTTCCCTGGTCTAGGAGCTTCTACTCAGGTCCAACAGATGCGCTCCGCTCTCGACTCTTCCTTCTTGGTGGTATGAGGTCCCTCTCCTCTCTGCTCAGTTCTCTCTTTTATATTTCAAAAGGGACTCAACATACAACCTAGTCCTGTAGATTGAGTCCTGCCTCATTAATATAACTGCCTCTAATCCTGCCTTATTAACATTATAGACGTTAGGATTTACAACACATAGGATAATCACATCAGATCACAAAACGGTGGATAACCACATAATACTGGGAATCATGGCCTAGTCAAGTTGACATACATTTTGGGGGGACACAATTCCATCCATAACATTCTGTGCATTTTCTAGTTATGTCTGGTATTCTATTTATGCCATATATTAGGGCCCCTAACTTTTTCCCTATTAAGTAAATAATTTATGAATGAGTCAGTGTGAATGTGTTATGTCAACCTGAGTGGGGGAAGGCATGAAGATCACCAGGCAGTTGCTCCTTGTTGCTCCTAATCAAGGTCAGCAGTGACTTCCTTCACAGGGTGCATTTCACCAAATGAGCTGCTCCTCCATCCAGCCACATCAGGGCCACAGTGAACTTGTTTCCCATGACTACTTTCCTGCCATGACATCAATGTTGCTGGTTTCTAATGATCCATAAACTAAGTTCTCCTCATGTAGTGTTGATAAATGACCGAACAATAACTAGCTTTACTTTAAAAACCATAACTTAAAAGAAAAAATTAAAACAAGCAATGTAATGGGATGGCTGCTACATTAAAAACACCAGAAACTACCAACAAATATTCTAGATATATACAAATATTTTTAGACACAACATGGCTACTTATGAAACTTCTTGGCAGGTGGAGTTCTGGAGGAAGGTGATACTTACTGGCAAGCTTAGAACACACAAAAAAGAAAAAACTACCTCAGCAGCTGCAAGGCTGATGCATACTCCTCTGAATCCCATATGTTCTTTTCTAAACATGTACAGTACAGCTCTCTGATCTGTAAATGAATAGCACATTTGTGAAGAACCAAAAGTAATGCAGTAAGATTACACATTACTGGCTTGGCAAACCATGTATAATCAAGAAAAAAAATATTGTTATTAAAAACAATCATTTTCTTTAGACTTGGCATTATCACATGGATTAGGCTTTATATTCTTATTTACATAATGCTGTAAATAATGGCTGATATCACTGGCCACTTTGTAGTAAGAAAATGATTAATTAGAAGTGATAATATAATAAAAAGGAAGATTCAATGGCAGAAATCATCTCAAAAACAAAGTCACTGTTATATATTTATATTTGTTCTCTAAAACTTTGATTAAGGATGCAAAGGTTTAGGAACACAAAATTCTTCCATTAACATCTGCCACTGTAGATGGTTCATAAGGTTTATGTTATGATACAAAGGCCAGCTGAGCATAATTTTGCAAGAAGCAGAAGTACTGCTTCTCTTTAAGTTCTTGGTATAATACAAAGCTAACCATTAAACATTCTCCCACAGTTTTGCTTTTTCCAGTACACTAAGGGTGGAAGACCAGCTCTCAGTATAGGTGACAAAGAAGTGTTAAAGAAGAAAAGTTAAATGCCTTCCACAAATACACTGGAGGGGAAGCAAAACCACTGGGATTTATGTGGCTGTTTCTAAATGTGGCAGTCAGAACAAAAAACACTGTTTCAATTACCAGTAATGTGTACAGCTGGAAAGGATTTAGACCATGCTCTCATTGCAAGATTTGGATTCATTTCAAATTCTGATGCCTGCAATGCTACAGAAAGCAAAGCAAGAAACTACTAATATTCCTATTCATAAATTCCAAATGAGGGAGCTTTTGTTACCTGTCGACCCAAGGGGTACTTGGGAAGAGAAGAGGTGAACTTATGAAGACATCTCAGAACCAGGAAGTAATTTGTATGGTAAACATGCAGGTTTTCTAATAGTGATTGTGTTTCTTCCTAAAATTCACAGAATGTGTTATTAATATATGTCAGTAATTAAAAGACTATAATAAAAGCTAATTCATGGTTATATACAGTTTCTGGAAAACTGACAAGATCAGAATTACAAATTAGTCTGCTTAACTCATAAGACTTTATAATACACATAAAATTCTGGATAAAGCCTGGGTATTGTTTATTTAGTATTAAGTCTGGTGATATTATACACACATCAGAATTAATACTGCAATTCAGTCTCCGCACATCTTCAGTATCGCTACAAAACCTTGGCCCAAAATAATACAGAAGTGCAAAAAAACATTTACTGAATGCCTGTCCTATGCTAATCACCTGGTGTGTGCCACAATCAGGGAAGGTCCATTATCCTCTAACGCACTGTCATCAGAAGGATGCAGAGGTCACCAGGAAGCCCAGTACAATGTAATCAACAGTTGCTGAAGTTCTGCTGCTGATGTATCCTTTTCCTAAAGTACTGCTAGAGTTGTGGTTGGAGGAGAAGAATGCAGGACTGTGGAAGAACCACCACAGGTGATTCTGGAAAAATATCTGCTTCTTGTTGGGAATCCCCTTTACTGGTTGTATTCACTTTAACAATTAAGGGGCAAAAAAAATGAAAAAGAAATATGAAGCCAGAAAGATTTTTAATTTAGAATCAAGCAAGTATGATTATGGAGGACAGTATCTTAAGAAACCTATAGGATGACTAGAAAGTTTTTCAAAATCTTTCTAGAGCTTTCTCAAATAGTGTTAGACCCTATCAGCATTTTCAGGCTTCAATTCCTTTTATAACTGCTTATTCTGTAACAGTTTAAGAGGATTATGACTTGATGCATTGTCCTCAATTTCTTTTTTTTCTTTCTAAGAAGTCAAATAAAGGACTTTACTGGGCTATGTCTTATTATTATTTATTCTTTCAGTAATATCTTGCAGATACCTATTGTTTTTATAGCTTAACCATGCAGAAAATAATGCCTCAGATATCAATAAATCCAAACAAATCTAACCTACATAAAGCAAAAAATTTGATATATTTTCCTAAACTTTAACTCACTTAGGAATCAATGCCTTGGTCAGCAATCTATGGGTCATTAGCGCAAAGCGTACAGCAAATGAAAGCTTTTAGTACCAAAATGCTTTTTCCTCCCATTATTTCAAGTCTCCTATCGTAACAAAGGTAGCCATAATCAAAGAGTACTTTAGCCACCATTGGGAGAGTATACTTTTATTCTGTTTTTACTGTAAGTTATAACATAGAGATTGCATAAAAGCCATTAATTGATATTTTGTTTTACTGTGTGCTTAATCAGTTTTTAAACGGGAATATTCTGGAGAAAAAGGAATTCATTACTGAATAGTAATTATATTTCATGCTACTTCATGTTACGTGCACTGCCTATTTACTTTTGCTCTGTGGAGTAACTGTATGTACAAGTGGGTGATGCAGCAGAACTGAGTGACATGTTTATTGAATTTACTTGGATAAGGAGAGAAAAGAAACACTTCATATAATATGGGAAATACTGCACACTGTACCACTCAATTAGCTATGCCCTGAAGCAAGTGTGAGATGAGGTACATGAACATGTTCTCCTCCCAAGTAGCCTTAGTCCTTCATATTTCTCACTGTGTAATTAGTATGTTCCCACGCTGAATAGGGTTCTAGTGTTTAAAAACTTTCTTTTTTCTTCCATATAACATGCAGTCTATTTTATCTGATGCTCAACTGAGGAAATGGAGGTCTAGTTCCAACACTAGGAGAAAAAGCTGGCTATGCTGGACTTAATAAAAGAAGGTTTGTTGTATTATACCTTTCTAAGGTATTTTCAAGATTAATTCTGACTATCCCAGATCTTTGCCTTATGTGCTGACTTTAGAACCTAATCTCCACATGAGAAAGATTTCGCTGCTATTTGTATCTGTGTTCTTATCAGTTGCAACAGAAAACATCACAAATGTTTAACATGTCACCTGTCCTCTAAATTCACCGTCTTACTGAGACATACATCTACCTTTACCTATCCAGGATGACAATTCCTGATGTACTTTATAGACACTATTTTATGATAAAACTCAAACTTGTAAAAGGTTTTGAAGTATGAAAAATTTTCCCACTTAAAAGTTAAAAAAGCATCATTTACACTATGCACATGCAAACACAAAGCCTGTTGATACAGTACTCCTTTTTTCCCCTTCATTGATTTTCTCCTCAGGCATCTTTTCTATGTATCAGTCATAGTTCTCATCATGTTTTACTCCATAATTGTGTTTAGGATGATTCTTTTCAACAGAGATATATTTTGCCTAGGAATATTCATTATTTCCCAAAGAGATATGCTTTCTTCTGTTCTTCTTGAAACATGAAGACTTTTACTCTTTTATTGATTTTTGATAAAAATATGGAAACAGAAATATTTCTCTGTTGTATGAAAAACAGAGCAAATACACAGCAACCTCCTTGTTCCTCCTCAGACATGCTCCAACCTCAGATTCTTTCCACTTGTCCCTCTGCTCTTCCTTCAGATTCTTGCATGGCAAGCTCCGTAACTGCCTTTAGATCTTTAATCAAAATCCACCTCCTCAGTGGGGCCCTTATCTACAATTTCAGCACCACCCCCTATGCACACCAAACTTCATAACCCCCTTTTCTGCCTCCTTCTTTTCTTAGCACTTATAACTACCACAGTAAACACTTCACTTATTTATCTTGTTTTACTGTCTGTCTCTCCAATAGAATGTAAGCTCCACAAGCTTTTTGCCTTTGTAGACTCCTGTTTTCTCAGGGCCTAGACCAATACATGGCACAGAACAGACTAAAAAAATATTTGTTGAATGAAAACGTGCATTAATAAATAGAGGCTGACATTCAGGGTCTCTCTTTTAAACAAAAGGGCAACTACTAGCTGTCTTGCTGGATAGGGGACAGATACCCTACTTTTTCAAAAGAAGCCAAAGGTCTGAATTAGTAATGTAAAGCTTCTTAATTTGTAAATACTGGCTCAGATTTTTAAAAAACAGTATGAACATGAAAAACACATTGTTGCCTGTCAATGTGTAATAGTTGTTGTTGGGTGCCATCGAGTCAGTTCCGACTCATAGCGACCCTATGTACAACAGAACGAAACACTGCCCGGTCCTGCACCATCCTCACAATCATTGCTATGTTTGAGCTCATTGTTGCAGCCACTGTGTCAATGCATCTCACTGAGAGTCTTCCTCTTTTTTCCTGAACCGCTACTTTACCAAGCATGAGATCCTTCTCCAAGGACAAGTCCCTTCTGATAACAGGTCCAAACTATGTGAGATGAAGTCTTGCCATCCTCAATTCTAAGGAGCATTTTGGCCGTACTTCTTTTTTGTTTGTTCTTCTGGCAGTCCGTGATATATGCAATATTCTTTGGCAACACCATAATTCAAAGGCATTAATTCTTCTTCAGTCTTCCTTATTCATTTTCCAGCTTTGACATGCATATGAGGCAACTGAAAAATACCATGGCTTGGTTCAGGTGCACCTTAGTCCTTAAAGTAACATCTTTGCTTTTTAACAATTAAAAGAGGTATTTTGCAGCAAATCTGACCAATGCAAATATGTCATGTGATTTCTTCACTGCTGCTTCAATGGGTGTCGATTGTGCATCCAAGTAAAACCAAATCCCTGACAACTTCCATCTTTTCTCTGTTTATCATGATGTTGCTTACTGGTACAGTTGTGAGGATTTTTGTTTTGTGTTGAGGTTTAATCCATACAGAAGGCTGTAGTCTTTGATCTTCATCAGTAAGTCCTTCAAGTCCTCTTCACTTTCACAGTTACGCCATCTGCATATTGCAGGTTGTTAATAAGAGTTCCTCCAATCCTGATGCCCCATTCTTCATATAGTCCAGCTTCTTGGATTATCTGCTCAGCATACAGAATGAATAAGTATGGTGCAAGGATACAAATCTGACACACACCTTTCCTCATTTTAAACCA